GAGTAAAGCTGACGTTCCCATTTAATTTCACAAAAGTTGTTCTTATCCAGGGTGGACTTCAATTTCGACCTCGCATCGGTCTTATCAACACCCCTAGCGGGAGTCGAACCGCGACAGTACAGAATGGGAGCTTGACACGTTAACCAGCCACATTGCCATGAGTGGCCTTGGGTCACAGGGCAAATGTGAATTTCAAGGAAGGCCAGGACTTTTGCCATTTCATATTTTTGGTCAGCCATTTAAGTCTGGTCTCTGACGTGTCTATCCTGTTTTGATCCATAATACCAAGTCTATGACTTCCTATACCGTAGTCTCTGGATTAATGACCCTATCAGTAAGTATAAATGACACAATTTTTGTTAAGTTAGTCACCATTCAAATTATAGTAAAACCTCAGTTAAATCGAAACTGAAATCCGTTCTGGATGAGATAACTTGTTAATTTAAATGATAGTTTGGCTGCGAAATTAAGCCTCCTTTTTATTTTGGCTTAAACAGTTCAGCCTTCTAGTTTAGAAATAAACCGATTTTTTCATATTTATAAGCCTTCCTTGCTATCTGAGTACCGAACAATTGAATGAAATTTATTATTAACTTTGAGATTATGCTTGGAGAAAACCAAATAAATTTATTAGTCTACTAATACCTGCTTGTATACTTGGTTAGCTAACTTGAAATAATCTCATACAAATTATGCCCTAAATATCAACTTATAAGAGAAGTCCTGAAAGAATAGAAGAGTAAATATAAACTAAGGAATTATTTGCCTTTGGCCTATGAAAAAGGTAATGGCCCAATATTAAGAGAAAATGAAAATAGACTGTTCACTTGAAACAGAGCTCGATTAAACTACCTGCCAGAGATTAGAATAAACTTCCATAGTTATAAGAAAGTTACCCTCCTACCAAGCTAGAAAAATGCCATGAAACAGATTTCATAAGACTGATATGAATAATACTTTTTCTTTCTTAGTTCATGAATGCTTAAGATGTCACTGGAAATATTTGAAAAGGATGCAAAAATAGCCTGCAGGACTTCCTTAAACTGAAGAATCTATTAAAAAAACACAAAAATCATTTTTTTGAAAAGGGGAGTGGAAGGGATTCGTAAGTTTGTCCCACCGGGGGCTGTAGAGAGGTTGCCTGGATGCTGCGGCTGTAAATTTGTGCGAATCTGTCTTCGACGCACCGTCCTAGTCTGTCATGTGACGGACAGTGTCAGAGCAGGCTACAATGGTTAACAATAATTCACCAAAAATACGAATGCAAGAAAGGTGGCCGGCTTTAAGCCTACATCTTTCTTATATTCCGATTTGATCCACTGAGGCATCTAATGTTTAGGTTGGATGTCCTATGCATTGCCTCTATATTTGCTCATAAGTTAAGTTAAGTGGCCACAGATGAAGCGAGAACTGGGTGCAATTGGAACCGAATAGCTGTATCCTCCTCTAAAACACTTATACCTTTGAACCTGCAATGTCACTGCATGTGATTTAGTCCAAATGCACATGTATTGTGTGAGTGCATTTCTCTTGAAATGAGTGTGATGTGAGAGTCAAAATCAAATTACAGCCTGATCAACCCCCTTCCTCTTGCTCTGTGGTACTTCTCGTTCTTCCCCTCTCTCTAAACCTATCCAATAGCCACAAGTTTCCACTTAGCTTTCTACACGCATTCCTTCTATTCAGGGTGTTGGCTGGTTTGTTAATTTCTATCACTGCTCTAGTCTTTCGCTTATTGGTATAGTCCCTATATCCAGCTAAGAGTTTTGGCATTAGACGAATCTATGGGATGTCATGTGCAAGCCAAGTGTTTGGTCAATTCCGATATATGGACCCATATATCCTTGCTGGTTTTTTTGTGTTCGGATAACCTCTTATGTATGGGCCTACCGGTCTCTCCTGCATAGACACTACCAGATAAATACACAATCTTGCAACAGCACAATCTGGAGAGCGGATCAGAGTATTCTAGAAAATAAGGCAATACCGAGAAAGTTATATTTTCTCTTTCTAAATGGTCCTGATGTCCCACCTCATCAGTAATTCACATATCTAATTCAACAAATTACACAATGGCAGAATAGGGATTCTCATAGCGTGATCTATCCTTTTATCTAGCCCCAAATATGTATTTACCATCATCCTATTTTACACTATTATAAAATAATTGTCAACCAGCATTCATGGAAAATTATTCTCAACCAGAATTCGCCTTAATCTCCTCAGTTCCTGATTCTGTGTTTAACATCTGCCAGACGCAGGCTCCTATTTATCATAGACTTCATAGCTCTTGCCTTAACCCTATACGTGTGGTTGGAGAAAAAATTCAAATTGAAACCTGCATTTGTTCGCTTCCTGTACACATCTCAACCTAATCTGTTCCCCTCTTTGCTAACTAGGCCTCAAGAAAAGGTGGTGAATTTCATCTTCCCATCGATTCTTTTGATCAAACAAATAAAACTCTCCAGTTCTTCTTTGCCATGTTGCCAAATAGCAAATTAGTTAAAAATATAGCGAATATGTAATTTGGGAACTAACAGTGTCTCCTAAATTAAGCGTTCTTCAAATTGAGCTTTGTAATTATTTGTTAAAAGTGGCGAAAACCTTGATTAGGCTTGAATCTAGTTTTGACTCTCACATCACACTCATTTCAAGAGCAATGCACTCACACAAAACGTGTGCAATGGGACTCAATCACATACGGAAACATTGCAGGTTAAAAGGCATAAATATTTTAGGGGAGAGTGCAGCTGTTCGGTTTCAATTGCATTCATTTCACCCTTCATCTGTAGCCGCTTTAGATGTCATCCGCAGCTATTTATTTAACTCATGAGCAAATATAGAAGCAAAGCATAGGGAATCCAACCTAAACATGAGATGCTTAAGAAGAACAAATTGGAATATAAGAAGGAAGTAGGTTTGAAGCCAGCCGTATTTTTGCCTTCGTGTTTTTGGTGAATTATCTTAAAGCATGGTGTCCTGCTCTCAGGATGTTCGTCACATGAAGGACGAAAGCTCAGCAAGGATTCATCCCGGTAGCAGGGCGGTGCACCGAGGACCCAGCTTCAACCACGGCTACAAGGCAACCTCCCCGCAGCCTCCAGTCGAACCAACTTACAAATCCCTTCCAGTCATAAACTTGGCACTATGGCTAGAAGTACGTTAGATGAGGCATAGAATAGAGCTAGTTGGCTAATATTAGACGTATTTGACCAAGGCCGCGGTCCATGAAGCAAAAGCATGTTCATGAGAATAACACGGTCTCTTTAGTCTCAAGTTAGTCTCTCATCCAGCCTGCGAATCCAGACTTAATGGGCCTACTCAACATGGCGGGAGTATACGTACACCAAAGGCTTGAAACAATGTGGGAAATAACGCTTCGAGTAGTACAGACAGAGTGGCAGGGGTCGAGTCAAATACCTGAACAAGTTTTGGGGTGGATCCTACTCGGCAAGAGGGAAACTCTTATAAGACTTATGGGAAGAGGATTTAGGAATAATATGGCAGACTTATATCAACGTTCCCAACGCCGTGGT